TCCTAGACTTTTTGAAATCCAATGTCCTAGAGGAATTATGAAGATTGAAATCTTGGCTTTAATTATTATTTTTAAAGTGCACTACCAAGAGTAGCTGGCGCTCCACTCCTCGCTTCGACTCGGCCAGTTCTTTTCCAATTCTATTTCTGTGCCGGTTTCAGTTGGCGTTTTCTGTTTGGCTTTGTTCCCGCCGCCCTGTGTTGCCCGTTGTTGCGCCTTTGGCCTGGCTGGCATTGAGCTTGAAAATGTGTTTATTCGCCGCAGTCCCTGGCCCCCCTGCTCACCTCTCCCCCTGGCACACTCAGAGAAGCTTGTCGGGGCAGCAAGTGCCTGCCATAAAATCGCTGAATCCGTCCACGGCGACGCAAACAAGCTGCCATGTGTGAGGAGCTGGTGGCAGGGTGCAATCTTACCACCCAGCCACACCACCCTTCCACCTTGCACCTTTCGAAATCGACATCGGCATCATCATTCCCGTCTCGGGGCAATTGTTGTGCATGTTTTTGTTATCTGCCGGCTCTGCCGGGTTGGCTGTAAGGAATGCTAATGCCATTGCCAATGGCATCGGTACTGCCGTGTACCATAAGTGCACCTCAGGTGTTGGCCAACTCCTTTGCTTTTGGGTGAGTTCTGCTATTCTTACACATTGGAAAATATACCTCTTAAATCTGAAAAAATACATTAACTTAATATCTAGTTTTGCACCTTTTATTATTGTAATTTATTTAAAAAACTTAAACTCTAATAAAAATGAATCACCCATTTTTAGAGTGTATGCTGATGACATTTGCTGGGTTATTCCTTAACTTGCCTCGACTTGAAATTAAATTCCTCTCGGGGATTAGGTCTGTTTCTGGGAGGTGGTGCGGGTGAAGAGATGCCGAAACGTGTGATGCTGCCAAATGAGGCAAGTTCGAGTGGCACTTGGCATCGCCTCCTAGTCCAGGATCTCCAAACAAAGCCAGTCACGGTTTCATATGTGGCATTGGCCAATATATCAAAGCACTCAGACTGATTGCCTTTATTAGGGTCCATAACTATCACAGTCAAACTAAAATATTTTACATTAAAATAATATAAAATTTATCTAATGTTATTTAAACATCGTTTTTCATAAAAAGAGGTATTAGCTATAACATATCTAGAACCGTTTTCTTAAGCCTCTGACTGAACCCAATCAATCCAAATGACAGGAGAACATCATCGTTTGCTTTATGAGCACAACGCGTTGCAATGACACGTTCCACAAAACGCACCACCAAGTGAACTGCACGAGGTCCTCTCATCTCTTTGTTTGCAGGACAAACTCATCACTCGACCTCGGCCCCTTCTCGATTTTAATTGTCGCACAACATTGATGCCCCAGCCTTAATTGGTGTTTCCCTGACGCACAGCTATGACACTTGGTGGAGTGCCAGAAGTGAATGTCGAATGCCACATGCCACTTTGCCTCTGAAGGGCTCAACCGGCAATTATGTGGATGAGCTTCTCCATTCCGGGCCATTGGCTGGGATCCAGCTACATTTTCAAGGCTTCAACCTCCTGCAGACCAACTCCTCCTAATGGTCGGTTCCATGCCATGAATCGAGATTATATCTGGATAGTCCACTTTGGGTGAAGGGTAGGAGCTGTTCTTACATAAGCAAGAGTGTTCTCCCTCTTTAAATGCAAATGGGGAAAAAAAATAATTAATAAATTATATAAATAAAGTCCCCCATCGGTGCTAATGATTACATTAGCGATTAAGCCGCGGCATTTACTCATTGCATCCACTGAGCCTCCTCATTACGTGTAATCCCATGTCATGAAGGATTATGACGCGCACCGAGTTTCCCATAACTTTGGGGATGAATGTGCGGCATCTAGCAGCTGACATTTAATTATATGCTGCACTGTGTTTGATTTCCTCCGCTGCAGTTGACGACAATGCAGCTTATTCCAGAAAATCCGCCCCAAAATCCCCGACCCACACTCGCATACTTTCCGCATTTGTTGCGTGCGCACGTAACTCAAATGCCAAACACCTGCAGTTAACACGTTCGCAGTGCTTACATAGCGGGCAAACAGAGCCGTAACCGAATCCCCGACCCGTATCCACATCCAGCCCGTAGACGTATTCGCATCCGTGTCCGTATTTCTGCCTCTTTCCGTGCGGACAAAGCAGCGTTAAAACTGCACTTAAGTCAAACTTGCCAGACAAGTGCCCGGGGGGTGAATGGAGAAAGTCCTGTTGGGAGTTTGGGGTGGTCCTTTGCCTATGAAGAAGGCTCAGGATATGGGTAAGGACAAAGGGAAGTAAGAACTAAACTTAAAAAAAAGGGTAGTGTTATATTGTATTTATTAAAAAATATTTTGCAAAATTTTTATCTCTTTTTAGAAAACAGATAACCTGTCGTATACTTAATATTTGGTGTCTTCTACATACATTCATTTTGGTAAAAATAATAGCCGGTTTTTCATAAAATGAATGTAGAAGACAGAATGAAAATAGAGTTTTCTTTTTGCATTAAATCCTAAATAGAAGTTAAAAAAGTAACACTTTTAGTGAAAACTATTTATGAAAAAAATAAAAATAGTTTAACATGTCTTATTAGTGAGATTTATTGTATTAAGGTCTGAGCATTAATTTCAAACAATAGGGCTTAGCTTTTTATTAAATTTTAAACCAAAAAAGTAGTAGTTTTGTAAGAAATATTTTTTTAAGTGCCTTGAAAGGAAGTTTAACATTTTTAGCTGACATGGGCGTTTTACGAGCGCCCTTCGGTTGTAAAATTTCATTACGAACTAAACGCTTTTCAGTCTAGAAGCACCGGACAGTGAATCCAGAGCTTCTCCCCCCAAATCCTTCTTATTCTCCTGGTGCGGGTGCTGGTGAATTATCCCTGCAGTCTCGGCCGGACGCTTTCTTATGCTAATTCTTGGCGCTTGGACACTTAGTTGATTGGTTTTTGTCAGAATCGTCGTCGGCGTTGACTGATTGGATTTTGGTCATTTGCGTCCGGTACTGACACTGCGAGAGATGGCCCCCTTCTCTCGGAGGAAGAGCGATTATGAATTCTTCTTCTCCTCCCCAGAGAATGCAACTTAAAGTTTTCGATTTAAACCACTTTTTACATCCGAACCAGAGCACATAAATCTCTATTCGGAAGCTGTTCTGCTGCGGTTTTCAAGGGCGTGTGCTGGCCCCTGTGACCTTGGCCTAGACCCATTCACACTTTACATAGCCCCAAGGGGGTGGGATGGGTGGTGGCGGTGTAACATTCCCTTAACATTCTGCTACCACTTACATTGCCAAGCTTCTCGTTAAAAACGCTTTCCAAGCTAAGTGAGGAGGGTGATTCAGCAGAGCTTTTATTATAGTAATATATATGTAGTTTTATTTTAAAACAATCAATCCAAAAATTAGTATATTTAAAATTTAAACTATATACAAAATGTAGATCTTATCATACAAATAAAAGGGTTTACCATAAGGACACTTAAATAAGTACACATTAGTAGTTGGTAGATGATTCAACCTTTATTTTTTTCAGTACATCTTCGGTAATCAAATATTGATACTTGGGCGTATTAAGGATGTAGTCTCATGTGTGAGGTTGAAAAAATCAATTTTTTTTTTTTTTTATATTTTGATAGTATTGTTTATTATGAATGTACTGTTAAAGTTTCAAATAAAAATATCAAATAATGACAGAGATACAGCCCATAATCGAGAGCGCGCCTACACCGAAAAGTATGAGTTTCTCGGTAGCGTCTAAACTTTAAACGCGTTTTTCTCGAAACGACATTTTTGTGTGCGGCGCAGGTGATTCCCAAAATTCTACGGTACCGATCTAGCTGAAATTTGGATATGTTGTTCTAAAAAGTAACACCTCTGTCCCGTACTAGAATCATTTATTTTTAATCATTAGTTTTTTTTTTATCATTAATTTAAGATAAATTTTTTTAATTTTTTTTAATTTTTTGTTTTGTGAGTTCGCCATTTTGTTGTTTATTGATGAAAATATTTCATTCTAGTTAGCCATTAGCTTACAAAACAATAATCTATTCTAATTTTTTGTTTCGGATGACTCTAGCAGTCGAAATCACCTGCGCCAGGGACCTATCTTTTTTTTTTATATGCATACTTTGGCATGCTATAAAGTGTATTAAACTACACAAGAATAAATTAAACAAAATATTTTCAAATAGTTTATGATGCTTATAAAAACATATTTGAAAATTGAAACGATCGCATTATTTTTTATTACAAAAAAAATTTTTTGAAATAACCTCTAAAAAGTAGGCCGGCACATGAGACTACATCCTTAAATTTAAACTTAAAATCGCGCGCCAAAATTAGCAGTCTGTGCATTAACAGAGACGAGACTGTTGACCAACCCCGCTGCGCTCGGCCCACAAGCTTTTTGGATACAGTTGGTAAACAGAAACAGGGAACGGAACAGGGAACGAACTAGTATCGCAATTAGTATATTATTTTTTTATATTCCGAACTAAGCAATTTCTCGCAAAAATTCCATTTTTTTACGTTTTCCAAAAAAAAAAAAAAAACCGCTGCAAAAAAAACGCTTCCAAACTTTTCTGCAGCTTTTGTTGGAAAACGTCAAAAAATGGAATTTCGGTTCGAAATTTCTCAGCACTGGAGTTCGAATCGAACCAAAGAGAAGGGTTAAACCTGAGTGAATTTTTATTTATTTCGTCGAGACGTTTCGGTTTGCCACTTTATTCAACTTTTAGGAAGCCCAAAAAGCTGAAAATCGGCCAAGTATCGCCCGAAGATATAGCGACAGTCCAGGCCATCGGTGATTTGGATAATTTGCAGTGATTAGTGAATTTGCCAGCGAAGCAGAAACAAAAACACGAACAACGAAAAAAACGTTTCGTCACGCTGAGAGCGCTGTGGAATTTTTTCGCAACAAATAAGCGTCGGCGAGAGTCGAGAAATCAAAAATCAATTAGTGAATAATCCCCACGGATCGAAAATCGGTGCAAGATAAGTTTCAGGAGGCTACGCAAGTTCCGACGATTGATCCATCGATTTTGCAAAGGAAGAACAGGTTGGTACCGTCGCCCATCATCTGCCCGGTCCTCCCCCCGTCTCCCATTTTGAATAGTATTTATTTTTGATTTCATTTCTCCGGGTAACTGGTTCTAGCCAAGTGCCGCTGTTTATTCTTTTCTGCTGTATTTATTTATGCTTCTCGAGCTGGGCTTGGATTTTGGCTTTGCTTTTGGGCTTTCGTTCGTTGCGAAAATATGTATGAAAATACCGGCTTGTTGTCATCTGTGCGGGGCGAAAGAGAGCCCAAAAGAGAGCGGTGACTCAGAAACTGTGCTTGTGGTTGTGTGAGGTTATTGCGTGTCACACCGACACGCTGGAATTGGAACACGCGCGTGTAGTATTGGCAAGAACAGTCATGGATAGGAATATTGGCAAGGCTTTTTTAGGGTAGTCAGAGTAACTAAAAGTATTATATAATATTTAGGTAAAAAAAAAAATAAATAATGTTGAAATAATATTGACAACCCTGCACTGCAGCCACAGCCCTCGATTTGATAGAACTGCTGCATTTCTCTTAATTGATACGAACTTCAAATGAACGGGCGCTCAATTAGCTGCGTTTATTATTTTTTCTGCTTTCCCATTTCACTCGGAATGGGAAATTTTCATAGTCGTGGGTGCAGCAGCAACAGTTCTTTCAAATTCCCGCGCAATTTGCATTTTCAATTGCATCCCAGCGAAAGAGACGGCACTAACGAAGGTGGAAAGAGACAACGAGATTATGCAATATGCTTGCATTCATTTAGCGTGTTATCATCTTTTATTGCAACTAGTTTCTGTCGGTGCACATGACACAGGTTAATTTTCACACACCAATCCCTCAAGGTTAGCCGTATTTTGAGGAAATTCAATTTTCGGGCGGAATCGGGCGGATTACACTATATATCAAGCCAAACATTGATTTCCAGAAGCTTCTCGAGGGCTTTGTCGGAAAGTTCTTAAGTTGTGTACTTTGACGACTTTATGAGGGCGTTGTCTGTTTGGCTTCGATAAGAAGTTACTTTTAAACTTAATATTTTATTATTTTCAGTCATATATTTTTATTTTATTTATATCTTTAGCCGCGACGTAGTAGTCCTGTAATTACATTCAGTTAAAATATATCATCTTTAACTAGTTGCAATATATTCTAAACTATTGTGTAATACCTGCCAAATGGGCTACGATATTTGCGTAAATACGTTAATTGTCGGATAATGACCAAATACCAAAAACAATGAAAGCCAGTAAATATTTTTGTAAAGTCGCTAAATGAACCAGCACTTTTCCTTCACTATTTATCACTTTATTAAAATATTTTCCATTTCAATAAATGGATATGGCCCTAATATTTGGCCTATGGACAAAAATACTTTTGGCTAATTGCTGAAGAATTTCACGCCTTGGCCACATGCCGGAGTCGCGTGGCTGCCATCTCCTCCTACTGGCCATCTGAAACCGATAAGGGAGGGATTTGAGAAAGGCTGCTAATTCGATTGATCAACGAGGAGCCAAGTGGTAATCATAATAGCATAATCGTGCCATTTACACCTGCTGGCCAAGTGCCGATTGCCAATCGCCAATTGCCAATTTGCGTTTCTAATTAGTTGCATCCCGTGCTGGCAATTTATGCTTGGTGTGCCTGATGCCTGCCTGCCTGCCCATCGACGATTGCTTAGATAAGTTCGACGACTATTGTCTCTCTAATGGCCATGTGACAGCGTACCAGCCGTTTGCAATTGTCGCCCTTTCTAATTGGCCATTGATTTGAAGCTCACTAGCATTGCTTATACGCCAAAGGAAAATCTTTATGACTTTGTAGGAGGGGTTCCGACACCGTTTGAGGTCAGTCTCTTGAGGCAGATCTTAAATATAGTCACACTTGAAACTACAAGCAAGCAGCAATCATAGTGATAAGATTAATCCCGAGTGTTTTCAGTTTTAATTCAAAAAGAGTGACTTTGTTAATTTATTTTTAAAAGCTTATTTTAGAAGCCCATTATATAAAGTGGAGTCAACCAGTCTAGAATACCAAATTGCAAGCGGGTTCTAAAAATTCATAAAAAAAAAGGCGTTTGATATCTTAAATACCATTATTTTTTAATTTCTTTATATTTATTTAAGGAGTATAAATAAAATATAAAAATATATACATTTTTTTATGAAGATAGGCATCTGCAAAGTAGAGGGAAAAAGAGATGGGGTCCTGGTTGATTTTAGAGTCGTGCGGATCTCTCTTAAAAACAAAAATAGGGCTAATTCTCAATCTTAATGAAGGATGCATTGCCCAAATAAACAAAAGCGAAAGAAGGTTTAGTTTTTTTATAAAGTAGCGGCTACCAAACAAAACATTCTATTTTAGGACTATTTTTATTATTTTCGAAACGGGTTTTTAAATATTTGAAATTGTAAAGATTTGGTTTTTGTAGGTTTGTAAGATAACGATAAAATTAAGGAATATTCATACCAAATTTCAAGTAATTCGTCTGATTAAAACTTAAGGTATAAGGTCAACCGTATCAAAGTTTCCACAAAAAAGCAATCAGTCAATTTTAATTTCATTTCAAATTTTAAAATGTTTCTTAAAAGAGATGTTCTTAAATAGAATTATAGAAAAAAATTTGTTCCGACTTCATTAAATTTCTATACTAAAAGACCCTCTTAAGTTTCAGTTAATTATGTATTTGTCGACTAAATTTTGATTTTAAAACTTCACATTCTAAACAAAATACTTTGGCGAGTTTAAAACTATTTCCTTAATCACAATTGTGCATTATTGACCACATTTCGCATTTTTGCATTTGTTTGCGGCGAGCAAGGGGCCCAGATCGGAGCGTCTGTCATAAATTTAAGCGCAATTTGTTTGTCTTGCATGTCATTTTGTTGTCCACAAAGATTTCACATTTTAATACGCTCACAATTTTCTAGTTTATTCTCGTTTTATACCAGGGCATAGTATTTTTAATGGGTTTTACAGCACGTGCCGTCTGTTTTTGTTGATTCGTGTCTGGTTTGTTATTATTTTCCTCAATTGTTTTTTTTTCATTTTAAATTAAATATTCAGCATAAACTTTTGTTTATTATTTATGGCGAGTTATTAAAGTCGGCAGCTGTCTTTGCTGTTTTACAGGCAATATCACAGTTCATAAAGTCCATAAAGAGCTTCCATTCTAGTTCTAGTTATGTGGAAACCCAATATTTAATCAATAACTTCTAGCTATTTTTACCAATATTTATCTTTTAATAAATATATTCCCAAAAGACGTCACCAAAAGTTGCCAAAAACGTCAATCTATATGGTTTTTAACACTTTGCCGCAATTTAATAGTTAATCCAAACTGAGGGAGAGACACTTTTTGGGAAAATATCGAAAGCAGGATGACGATTTGCAAAATTAATTACTGTTTATTTTGGCAGCAAATAAATATTATTTTGGCTAAAAATTTCCTTATTTATTTGGCGGTCTATTTGCCTAATTTGTTTCAACAGGTGCTACCCATGCACCACCTCCCCCAGTGGTGGGGGCATCTAGAATCGAGATCCTCGTTGCTGCGCTGGTGGCCATCGGCTGCTCATAATTTATATGCATGTGGGATAAGTTTTATATTTATTGGCATGAAGATAACTTTTGTGGCCACATTCGAGACTCATTTATTTTTGGCTGCCACCACCCCCACTCACCTCCTGCTGGCCCACAATTGAAAAGTGCTAGCAGAATCCTACCATAAATTATTCGCACATTTACAAATCAAAATTTATGTGCTCTAATTATTTATTATTTATTTGCCAGCCAACTCTAACATGTTTTTAATTTTTTTGTGATTGTTTTCGATTAATAATTATAGATTATTATGCTTAAAGTTTTTACTGACTTTTAATGTATTTTTGTTTTATTTTGCAGTTTCTAACAGGCCGACTGGTAAGTAAGACTTGTTTTAAGTAAAGTTTTAACTCAGAATTGGAATTAGTTAGAGTTTCTAAAAGTAACTGGCCTTCTAAACTCACTAAGCAAGGAAATACTCATACTTTCTCATACTAGCAGTACTGTTCGCAATTTCTCAATGATTTAGCTCAGCAGCTATTTAGTTTGAAATACATTATTTTGCAAATTTGTAACAATTAGTCACCGGGAATCATCGGAAAAATGTAATAAAGTCATCAAACGAGCACGCTCCAGTGGAAGCACAGACGAAACGCATTAAACTGAATTGCATTCCCCGCAACTGAAATCTTAATGGTGATCTGAAATCGAAATTAAATTGAGATAGGTAAAAGGTAGTGCTGGTGAGGAAGTAGTGGGGTGGTAGTAGGAATCTATCTGGTGGGTCACGTTCTGGTGCTCGGCGCTAATCGCCGCGCTAGCACGCGGAAGTGTGTGGGAGGGCATGCCAAGTCGGACCACCAGGCACTGAAAATAAAACCCCCCAGAAAACCAAGATGTAATAGGAATGATCATCTATTTTTTCAGTGCAATCATACATCTAGTACTGTGGGGTAATGTTAATTAAATTTCGCTGGCCGGGGCACGGCGCCCTCAGTCTTAATTTGTTTGCATGCTCGGTCGAGCGGAAAAACAACAACAAATTGGCATAATGATCTTTTACACGATCAACAACAACATCATTATCATGCTGAACTGGCTGGCTGGCTGAGTGACCCAACTGACTGACTAACTGACAGGCAGACTTGTTCAATTGCTATTTTGACTTTGAACTTGCGTTGTTGCCTGTAATTTACGATTTCTGCACAGAGGGACAGACCTGAAAAGAGCTGACCGACCGACCGATCGGCAGAGCTTCTCCCCCATTATACTATATACTCTGTATAGTATATATAGCATTGTGTAGCATAGTTATACGATTTCCTACCCACTCAATGTGACGTTCGGCGATTTAAATTTAGCAACAATGACAAGACCAGGAATGAACTATAACTGGGACTCAGGACTTAATATGGAACGACATTTCAATTGCGATTGCTATTTTTAGGCATTCTCATCTCGACTCGGCTCTGCTTTTCTCGTCTTGGCTTAACAATTTTTTTCATGATTTTTGCATATTGTTGCTCTCGATTGTGCCTCTTGTGGCAAGGTTGAACTGTATTGTAGAGTCTGATCTGATTTTTAATAATAATAATAATAATAATTGTTAAAGAGTTTTGTTTTTGAAAACAACAATGGCTTTTAAATGCCTCACATTGGCTGTCAAAGTTTTCAAAAACAACCTTTCGAAAAGTACTTAATGAGTACCATTTAGCTTTAGTTTTATAAAATTATGCGCCATTATTATTTTTGTCATAGCTGCTCAACCTAAAAAAGTCGTACTTCCTGCTATTTGCGCAGTTTTTTGCGATGAATGGCTGAGATAGCATTGAACTGAAATACCCTCGAACTGGACAGAATATTTAGCTATGAAGAATATTGATTTATTTATACGTAGTTTGTTTTTTATCTCGTTTTGCGAAAAAATAAAATGCTTGCGAGTGCAAAAGTCCCAAACGTCCTTGCCTTGAGAGATCGACTGGGGGAGAGAAGGAGATCGCATGAGATTTCTGACCAACAAATCGAAGAAAACATGTGAGCTCCGATTGTACTGATGAGAGATGGCACATGGCAAATTTTTGGCATTTTTTAAAGAAATCTCTATATATACTTTTGTTTATACAAATGTATAAAGTTTCACGAACCCGACGTCAATTCATGTAGCTATATTTTTAAAAATATATATAGGTTTTCAAAAGGGTAGCCATAGCATTTAAGGGGATATACATTTTATAAGGATTGAACTAAGAATTTACTTAAAAATACTTCGTACTTTAATTAAATTTAAAGCAAATTTTCAAATAATTTTTAATAAAATTAAAAAGCTTTTCTATTTCGGCCTACACAGTATTTATGAGTCCAGAGCTTTACTCTTTTAAATATATGTACTATAGTTTTTACTATACAAGCCTCTAGTTCGTTCTGGTTCATTCATTAGGCAGGCCTCGCCCTCGAGTTCTGGCCATTCATGAGTTTTCCTCATTTTGATGTCACCGACGTCACGCAAGTGAAATTTTTTAGTAAAGTTATTGGACCAACCCGCCTTGGCTAAGATCAATGGGTGTTTGAACTGATGTGCGTGAGGCGCAGAAAGGGGCAACCTTTGGCCCGCCCACACACGTGTCGAATAACATTGGACGCTAATTAAAAATCGCAGGTTTTCGGCCTCTTTTTTTCGTTCTTTGTGTGTCAAGAGTGTTTTGAGGGCGTTCGATCACTTGACTCGTATTGCCGGTGCGCATAAAAAAGTAAAGCTACCGGAGATACCAGCTACCAACCGATTATATAGATATAGCATTTGCCCAGCCTGGCAAATTTCACACTTTTTGATTTTCAAGTTTTGTTGGCTCGGCTACTGCAAATACCCTTGTTATAAATAAGATGGCCAATGAAACAGAGTAAAGAAAGAGCATTCTGAGGGTAAACAATTATTTAAAAATACCTTCCATCATCGAAGCCTTATGCAAATTGCTAAAATGATAATAACATCAAAATGACGGCGGTTCTGGCGCATGTCTTTGGGAAAAAAGCACCTAGTTACAGTGGTGCTAAAAGGTGTGTAAACAAGACTATCCAGGGATGATGAATATACATATGTTACGGGGGTTATACGCATTCTTATAATTTTTATAAAATTTTAATTTTATGAGACCTTAAATTGTTTCAAGTTAATTGTTACTCTTTTCTTTTTTTCGTACTTTCTGTAGAGGCTACTTTTAAGAAGATAATAGCGTGAAGATCATTTACAAATATTTTATAATTGCACTTTTGTTGTAAAAAACGTCTTCGAAAAAAATCCATTTTCCAGTCCATTTTCTATTAATTTGTTTCAAAAAAAATTAAACCATTTCAAGAGTGAAAAAAGGGTCTATTTATAGAATATAATCTATAGAACAAGTACTCCCCAGAAAGAGTCTAAAATCTAGTTACTGTTTATGCAAATTTTGAAAGAAAATCCCTTGCCAAGGGTACAGTAAAGCCCAAAGTAAACTCAGCACTGGTAGTGCCAGCCAGCCGGGCTTTGGCAATAAAGCCTGGTAAATCCGTACTTTAAGCAACCGACACGGATACAGATACAGCTGTAGATACAGAGATATCTACAAGCCATCCACGTTTTGCATGGCAGAGAGCTACGGGGTCTAGGAGGTGGGTGAACCACATACTAACTACCACTAACTAACGCCGACGCGTTGATGGAGGCGGCAAAATTTCGCACATTTCGTATAAAATTCGTCGATCGGCATCGGCAACGGCAACGGCGTTTTCTATATAGTATCGTTGTTATTTCACTGCTCTGCTGCTGCTGACAGTCGTCGTCGTGTTCCGCCATTTGTAGAGCTCATTTAATTTTTATTGTTGTTTATTGCTTAACGAAAAAAAAATGTTCATTTTAAATGTTTGATTACAACGATTTGTGAAGTTCAGTCGAATTTGTGATTTTCGCGCTGAAGGAGCGGCCGATCCAGTGATCGCGAGCAATGCGATTCTGAACTGCAATCGGATCGAATCTCAATCGCAGTTCCGCTGATAACCGACTGTCAGTCAAACTCAAGTGTCGTGTGCGAAAGAATTTAAAACTGAATAAAAATCTCAAGCTTCAAAAAGAGCTCTTCAACCAAAAGACAAGTGATACGAGTGCCAGGCCAATACCAAAATGCAGTTGCTTAATTTGGTCTGCCTCAAGCAAAGTGGGTTTTTATATGATTTATTTTTCATATTCAAAAAATTAAATTTAAAATAACTTGTGACAACTGAACACAATTTCCCATTGTGTTACCAAACTAATTTAAATTTCATGTTATCGCCAGAAACATTCTTCATATTTGCGCCGCATTTGTCATTTTATAATCCAAAAATAATGCATGCTTATAGCCAAATGCAAATATTAGAATATATGATCCCTGTTTGATAGATAGCAGCGTATAATGTTCTATAAACTAGATTGTGAAATTAGTTTTTGGGCGTAGATATTCTTCACTTGGTTTGTGATTTATGTGATGGAGAATATTGGTCATTAGAGGGTGATTCAAAATTTAATAAAATTTCTACACCCCAAGAAATATTGTAGAAATAAAATGTCCTTCAAGGCCTCTATTTGTTGATTGATCGTTCAAAAAATTTCTACCATGAATTGATTTATTTGTCAACGCCAGTGCCCAAAATCATTTAAAATCTCAACTGCAACCAAGTGCAAAAACACGGAATCGTCAACTCTCTCGGTTGACGTGCTGAAAAGTCGATATACAAGCGCCCAAACCAGAGATCTAATCTAAACAAACAGTCACTTGGGCGCACTTGGCACGGCCCAGTACTCATCGGTTATACTATATTATGGCATAGTATCTGGGCGTTTTACGATGAGTATTTCATTCTTAGCACTGCAAATTGTGTCAACAATTAATACGAAACAAGCGCACGATGTGGCAACTGCAATTCAAAGTTCAAGCAACTGCAAGACGTCGTTCTCGTTAATGTGTCAATATTTAAATTATGGCATTAAATTAATTCCACACCGAAATTAAGGTGAAAAATATTAACAGATTTTATAGTATACCTGAAGCATATTTTTAAACGAAGAAAGCTTGCATGAAATATTTATTTGTTATGAATTCCAACTAATTCATACATCTACTTTATTATTTTTAGGCATATTTTTTTTGAAAATTATGAAAGAATCTGATGTTTTTATTAGGATTTTAGTAATTTATTAAATAAAGTGCATCCATTAATTCGTTAATATTTTTTGTTGGTCAAATTATTAAGTTTATACGCACGATGTTGATGACGATCACCTTTTGCCAGAACCTCCCCCTTTATTCCCACCCGCCGTAACACCTTGCCATGGCCGAACTGCATTGGAATTATATGCAAATAGCTGTCGAGACGGAGACGTTCTATAAATAAAGACACCACGCAAAAATCAAAGGTGTCTGTGTACGAATCGTATTTTTATAAGACTTCTTCGCTCCGACGATGGCGCATTTTTATGCAGAGCAGCAAAGAATTTCACGCTATGGCTGAGGCAGACTTTCTATAATATCACCATAGATATATTTGTATCTCTAGCTAGGCAGAAATATCTGCAAGATACATATAGCCATATATGTTTATTGGGAGTTGCAGTCCATGAATTTTCCATGATGACTGTACGAGTTAGTTTATGGACTTTCCCCCAAAAACCTCCCCCTAATTATCTAGCCCCATCGAGATAACAGACTATGTACGAAAGAGAGACACTGAGACGGAGAAAGAGTTAAATATTGGACACCGACTGGATGCCTCTATTGTATCTGGGTGCGGTATAGAAAATACATACGCCTCTTGTATCTATGCTCTACTTTTCTACTTTTTTTTTTGGGTCTCTATTGTTGCTAATTGTTTTCGTTTGTTGTTATTATTGCCGCTGGAAACGTTTTTAACTTATCGTGCGCGTCAGAGCTGATAAAATCCGAGTACACAAGCGTACGGGAAAGCTAACAAAACAAAAAAAGAAAAAAAACCTAAAAATTAAATTTGCAATGAGGACGAGTCATTATGTCAAAATCAAAAACTTTTTAATTTAAAATTGGATTATTTTTACATAGTTTATCCTACTATCTTACAATATTATCAGTCTACTTTAAAAGGCAATTTATTATTTTAATTAATTTTATATTTTTATACATTTCTTAACTCAAACCTAAAGCTTTTAAACTTAAACTTAATTTGTAACTGATTTTTCAATGACTGATTTTCGATCTACGACACCCACTGTGCCTTCGCTCAACCCTCTCTGGCTGCTCTGCCTCTTTCTCTTTCCCTCAATCTCTTCGTGCAACTAGGAAAGGCGACCGGCGCCACAGCCACTACCACAAGCCCCTCGAAAGCCTTCGAAATTGTTGCTTTTGATATTTGCTCAATACATTATTTTTGTATTTTTCTAGCAAACGTCGCTTGTTGTTGCAGCTTTTTGTCTGAGTTCTTCGCTCTTTTTTATGCTCTTTCAGGGAGTATTATACTTTTATCTATGAATTTGTGACTCGCGCTAAGAAGAGAACAGAGTACGGGCGATCCTAAAAGGAATACATATATTTTTATCAAGGTCATCACCAAGTTTAGTATAAATTGGATATTTAGTAGGAAAGGTACATACAATATCTCTTATAAGCTACCTCAAAAATACTAAAGATTTTTTTTATTAATATTTATAAAAAAAAGGGTATTATGTCGTTGGCTCTCCCCATAAGCTAGCCCCATAACCCATTCTTGTTTGGTTTTGTTTTTGCTTTTTGTCGTCAGTCGTCAGTCGTTGGCGCACTTGTTACGTCGCAGCTCTACGGCCGTGTTCTTCTATATTATGCGCTCATTTGTTGCGCGGCTTTTGAATCGAGCGCTACGTTAGATCGCTACCGAGCGAGACGAGACTTGGCCGAAAAGAACCGCATCGGTGGAGGAAAATAGGCAGCAGACGCGCGCGTGCGTAGATCAGAAGAAAAAGAAGAAGAAGCAGAAGAAGTTCCAGCAGCAACAGCTGTCTCCTGTAATTAATTCTTCACAATTTTGCGTAAATTGTTTTGATTTCTGTGGCGTGAAATCAATAAGGCAAATGAAAATTTATTGAACCAATAGTGCCACTGTGTATGTGTTTGTGACGAATCGAAGTCGTGTGACAAAGCTTATCAGTTGCACATGATCGTGGATCGGCAGGGCTGCTCTCCCCTGCCTCTCTTAATATTGATTTATTTCGAAAAGAAAAAGAGTGGCAAACCAATGGCATATTTTATGAAATTAAATTCAAACTTTTTTCTAATTTCTTAAATTAGCTTTCTTCTTTCTGTTTTTGTTGCCAACTGTTGTTTTTTTTTCGTTCCATTTCCTGTCTCCCTCTTGCTTTGCGTTTTGTTTGTTGTGTAAACATTCAGATATTTGTTTGCTTGGCGCGGTTCTTTATTTTTTCTCGCTCCGAGTGTTAAGTTGCGAAATTCGCCAAAAATTTAGTTAGTTGGCTTTTAATTAAGTGGCACATGACACGTCCCATAGCTGGAAGCGGCTTCTTTATCGGCCCCCGTCACAGATATCGACTTGCGGTTATTATTATACCCTTTATTTTTTTCCAACCACAAGCTTATCTCGCTCGAGATTACATCAAAGGAACGCAATGGCTAGAAACAATGTAAACGGCTGGCAAACAATATCGGAATTGTAAACATTTTAGCTGAAAACTTAATTACAATTTCCACACATTATCGTTGTGTTGTTGTTGTTTTTGTTGTTGCTTTTGGCTTCTATAAATAGCCCAATGCGGTCATTGGTCCCGCTCGCACACACACCGCCCTCTCTTTCTTCCTCTCTTAAGCTTATGCTGCACAGATCAAAGAGAGTCAAGCACACAGTCGAGGGTAATTTTGTGAGCAGAGTGCTAAAACAGTAGTGGCACTCTAAAAAACTTGATTCATAAAACAAAGGCTTATCAGTGAAACGTGGAAAAATTTTGCATAGAGATGATGGACGGGTAGTAGAATAAAATAAATACGGCATGTGTTGGGCGTAAAGCTGTTGCCCTTATTCCAAAACATGTGCGGGTAATTTCCCCGGGCAGATAGTTATGGTCGAAATTCCCAAGCTTTCGTAGTATAGTTTTCTGTAATTTCCCAAATTTTTTTTACTAACAATCACTGTTCTCATCTGCCCCAAAAACCCAAAAAGGTGCCCCCCATTTACTAGAACGTTTAGTAGTTGAGTTGCTTTCTTTTCTTTGTAATGCTTGATATGGTTGATATGGCAAGGTCCCGATTTTTACCCCCGTTTTACTCTTTCTCCACTTGCAGAGGTGGCGCACATCGCCAACAGCAGCAACAACAACAACAAGAACTATAAAGAATCCAAGGAGTCAGATCCCAAGGATACAGGAGTTTTCGGTTGTTTTTCCAAGAAGGAGGATCACCAAGAGAATCCCGCCAAAAATAATCAGACCTCTTCAGATCCGCGAGAAGTTTTCAAATCCGGATCGTATAAAGTGCAGCAAACGGAGCAGGAGCAGCAGAGGAACCTAGAGGCATCCCCTTCCGTTTACCGCCACCACGACGAGGAGTTTCATCCGATCAGAAAGGAGGAGGAGTTAGAGAAAACACCACCGATCTCCAAACAACCCAGACCGCGGAGCACCCAGAGATCGCAAAGCCAGCCGGCGATAGCCCAGAAACCGAACAACCAACGACGTCCAGGAACTTGCACCACCTCTGAAAACGGAACCGCAACCAGGAGCATGACCTCCATACCCGCCAACCTGTCCAGCAATAACGTTGCTGGAGCAGCAAACCTCGCCGGAGCAGCCGCTCCGCCAGAGAAGCAGCCGTGGCCCAACTCGAAGGATGATTACGAGCTGAGGGATGTCATTGGCGTGGGAGCCACAGCCGTGGTACACGGGGCCTACTGCATTCCCCGGAACGAGAAGTGCGCCATCAAGCGCATCAACCTGGAGAAGTGGAACACCTCCATGGACGAGCTGCTCAAGGAAATCCAGGCCATGTCCTCGTGCAACCACGAGAATGTGGTGACCTATCACACGTCGTTCGTGGTGAGAGAGGAACTCTGGCTGGTCCTGAGGCTCCTGGAGGGCGGATCGCTGCTGGACATCATCAAACACAAGATGCGCACGGCCAACTGCAAGCAGGGAGTCTTCGACGAGGCCACCATAGCCACTGTCCTCAAGGAGGTCCTCAAGGGCCTGGAGTACTTCCATTCGAATGGGCAGATCCACCGCGACATCAAGGCGGGAAACATTCTGATCGGCGATGATGGCACCATCCAGATTGCCGACTTCGGAGTCAGTGCTTGGCTTGCCACTGGACGGGATCTGTCGCGTCAGAAGGTGCGTCACACCTTCGTGGGCACACCGTGCTGGATGGCACCGGAGGTGATGGAACAGGATCATGGCTACGATTTCAAGGCGGACATTTGGTCGTTCGGCATAACAGCCATAGAAATGGCAACTGGAACAGCACCCTACCACAAGTACCCGCCCATGAAGGTGCTCATGCTCACGCTCCAGAACGATCCGCCCACCCTGGACACCGGGGCGGATGACAAGGATCAGTATAAGGCCTACGGCAAGACATTCCGCAAGATGATCGTCGAGTGCTTGCAGAAGGAGCCCTCCAAGAGGCCCACGGCGAGTGAGCTGCTGAAGCACGCCTTCTTCAAGAAGGCCAAGGACCGCAAGTATCTCACCCAGACGTTGCTCCAATCCGGTCCCAGCATGGAGACGCGGGTGCACAAGGCCGCCAAGAGGCAGCCCGGCGCTTCGGGAAGGTTGCACCGCACCGTCACCGGAGAATGGGTGTGGTCCAGCGAGGAAGAGGATAATGGTGGCTCTGCCGGCGGCTCTGGATCCGGAGGTGGCCGTAAGCAGCCATCGTCCGACTCGGATTCGGAGGACAGGCCGATGAATCGTTTGGAGAGGGCCGATTCCTCCGACAGCGATCGGGATGAGCCTTCGCCGGAGGTGACACACAGTGTTTCCTCGGCAACCGTTACGCCTGGAACCATTCCGGCAGGTGGAGCAGCCCAGGAAATCACAGCTGGTCTGTCCCAGCTCCCCTTACCCAGCGACGCATCCGCCGAGGCGCCTCCTGTCAACCTCGTCCTGCGGATGCGCAACTTGCGGCGGGAACTCCACGACATACGCTTCGAATTCGTCGTGGGCAAGGATTCCGCTGAGGGCATTGCCACGGAACTGGTGGACGCCGGGCTGGTGGATGCTCTGGACACGCAGCCGATGGCGCAGCACCTGGATCAGCTAATCGCCGCCAGTGCCACGATGAAAACAATCACTTTCCAATTGAGCTCCGGCGTGCAGCCGGGCGAGGTGCCCGACGAACGGTCCCTGGTGGGCTATGCGCAGATTTCCATCACGGACTAGTTGGTAGCCCTGGATCCTGGATCATCATCACACCATCAGCACCGCCACCTCCACTTCCACCAACATGAAGCCAGCACTGCACCCCCAAATAAAAGCCAGTCTGATGATACGTAAGGCCAGAAGGAGTCGGGGACGCGGACCGAGATCCGTAGGCCCCTCTGGAGAGCCGTTGCCGTTTGCTGCTTTTAGCATCTAGACTAGAACTAACTGTATATGCTAGTGATAGATCTTAACGCCAGCCGATCGTTTACTTTAGTGAAAGTATCTATATCTATACACACACATATATGTTTAGTAGGATGGGTCGAGTTCGGATGGGATCGTAAGCTATAGGTATAGTCTTTAGTTTAAATCCTCAAGGAGCGAATGGGAATTCCCCAAGTTTTAATTGTTTTAAATTGAAAGCACTTTCAATAAAAATTAATGTTAAAGAATACTAAAGTAAGCAAGCGAGAATGCCAGTTGAATTTTTTCATTGAATTTTTTGAGTATTTTTTTCTGTTTATTTGGCTTAGAAGTCGACCCGTCCCCAAGCTTAATATATGCCCTACTATATAAATCCTTTGCGCATTGTAATTACTCCATGTGCCCCACTTCCGGTTCCCTTTACGGCCCCCTCGCCCCGCTAAAATAGCTAAAATAATTGAAAAATCGTGTACTTACTCGTTTTCGTTTCGTTTGACTCTAAGTAGCTCTGTACATACACCACATACTATACGTATATATCTTATATATAGCTTCTGTTTTTAATGAGCCCACTGAAGTCAGTAGATCCTGATGCAGTCCTGCCTCTATATCATGTATCCCGCAAGGCGCCTCTTATTTATTCTCTAGCTATCTTAATTGCTAATTTGTAAAGACTAGCGGCTAAGTTTTGTTTTTTTGTTTTACTATTATTTAACATTTTACCTTATATTTCATAATTATGCTCTTTGAAAAAAATATGTATGAGTTTTTCCAAGAAGCTGCAAGGATGTAAAGTTTAAGAGAGGAGGCCAGTTTACCTTTAGAAGAAAGTAAGAGAATCGAGAGAAAACGTAGAATTAAAGCAAGTTGTGTAACTACCTTGAAATAAATCGTAAACCAATTACTTTAAAAAAATGAAACCTAAAAAAAAAGAACTAAAAAAAGAAATTCAATTATGTGTTTTTATTGGCTGATTAATGATGGAAATGGAATTAAGAATTGGGTGACAAGTAAAGTTAATTTTTATTATATCTTGTAAACATTATAATATTCTGAAGTAAACAAGCAATGCTCATATTAAAGTTGGAGGATTATTTCTTATTGTCCAAAATACCTTTAAAAAGATAAAAAGTTTAATTTTAAAAATGGCCTAAAAATCTAATAAGAGTCTTAGAATAATGGGACAGTAAACCCTCAAATGTGTAAACTATTCCCCTCAGCTCACGTAAATAAGAAGCCTGTAATTTTTAGACATTTTAATTAAATTGTTGGGCTGCCATGAGACATTCTACCTGTAATACTCGTACAGTAAATCTGTTTTAAATGCAAAAGACCTCTTAGACACGTAGTCCTAACAATTAAACGTTTATTGAATAGAGTCCTAGCCACGATCGACTGTTATCAACTGTATACGAGGAACTTGAATTTCAAATAAAAATTGCATTTGGCTCTTAATGAATATTTTTTGTAAAGTAAGGGGGCTAGGATCGGGGGATCTAGGATTTTTCTGTCAAGTTATCACCTTCGATTCTCTGCTGAATAATTGCAGCCATGTCCGACTACTTTGAGGAACTGGGTCACGTGCCCACCGGACCGGAGGGAGCCAACGACTTTGAGCGAAATTTCAAACGCCTCCAGGTTTTGGCCATTATGAACGGCATCGACATGGAAATCGAGGTGCCGGAAGCCTCCAAACGGGCTATAGCCGAGCTGCCTGTCCACGAGATTCTGGAATCAGAGGTTAGCGTCGAACTGGAGTGTTCAGTCTGCAAGGAGCCAGGAGCTGCCGGCGAAAAGTACAAGATCCTGCCCTGCAAGCACGAGTTTCACGAGGAGTGCATCCTCCTTTGGCTGAAAAAAGTAAAAACATATTGCCCTATTATTTTATTTTTATTAATTTTAATTTATTACTCAGGCCAATTCGTGTCCTTTGTGTCGTTATGAGCTAGAAACCGATGACGAGGTTTACGAGGAGCTACGTCGGTACAAGCAGGATGAGTCCAATCGTCGCGAACGCCACAACACTCTGATGGACTCCATGTTTGGTTAATGAAATATACCAATGAAACTTATAAAATTATCATTCTGAAATGGGTTTGGGTTAAATTACTGGTGTGTTTCAATAAAAGATATATAATGAAGAAGGTTTTTCTATTAGTGGGAAAAGGGCGCCAAATTTTAAATAATTTGAATTCACTACAGTGCCTCTTAGCAGTGTTCCTACCGAAGTGTTCCCAGCATAACATGGCTACAACAGAATGTTAATATTGACGAACAGCTGCTGATCGTCGGTATATTTTTTTTTATAGTTTCCCGAATACAGTCTCTGATTTTAGCCATAAATTCTTATTCTTTATTCCAGATTATTTAAGTTTCTTAATTTAATTAATTTTTACTAAAATATACGGTATTTTATTTTTACTTTTTTTTTTGTGGTAACATTGGTTTTGAGAAATACCAAATATTTTTGGCGACGCTTCGTGGCAACACTTCTTTTCTGAAAATCCTTGGCGCAGTGCGTGTGTGGTTTTCTTCGTTAATATTCTTTTTCTTAATTCTATTGAGTTTAAACAAGTTTTATAGCTTAAAATCGTTATTACTTGCATAAACCAGCTTAGTTTGCAATCTAAATCATGGAGGACGACAGCAAGGGAAAGCATTTCGGTCGCAAATTTGTGGCGTCCAATATGAAGACGCTTTTGCTTTGCCCAAAATGCTCCAATACTTACACCTATTCGTGCTTTAAGAATCAGTCCGGTGAGTATTCAATACAAAGATAATGACGCTTCCATTGCATATTTAATTCGTAAACATTGGCGCGACTTCTTGGGACGCGCAGGTTCCCGAACTTTATTGAATGCATGTGTGAGCGTAAGAGAAGTAATGATGGATATGAGAACCAGGAGTTGAAAAAAGCTACACATATTACATATACATATTAATAAAAAATTTACTATTATAAGGTTTTAGACCTAATAATTATAAGCAAAAATTTAAGTAGTGTAGGCTTTTAAACATAAATTTAATTTTTGATGCAAACGCACTTGTTCTAGAATGTCATGGCGTTGCCAGACTAAAAGCATTATTTGCCCCAAAATGAATGTAATTTGTAAAAAATAATACTTATTTAAAAAGCTTTTAACTGTAAAAATAATATATTTATCATAAAAATCGGCTCTAGCATTAAATATTAAAAGCCAACACTGCATCTCTGTCCCGTTATGTCCCGCTCAAGTTTCATTCCTTATTCCTCTTTGATTTTTTTCTTCTAAACATATGTATGTACATATGTATGTCTATATCTATGTATGTATGTATATACATATGTACACAATTATTTTATGTTTTTATGATGATTCTTTTTAATAAACCCATTTAATTCAATAGAGAGTCACCGTCCCTTTCTGTTGCCATGCGGGCACAACCTGTGCGAGAAGTGCATTTGGCACAACCGCCAAGATCTGAAGTGTGCCGTATGCCACGAACCGGCTCCTCCGATGCTGAAGGCCAAAAATCCGGCCACCAAGAGCGGTGTGAGCGTGCGCGACTTCTACGTTTTGAACTACCATGTCCTGGGTGAGATTTTCAGCTCCTCATACTTTTGGAAGCGTAGTTCCATAAGCGGAATGCATACGTCCACGGATACGGCCAACAATTCGTTGAACGCCAGTGCCGGACCCAGCGAAGTCGTTCAGATCAGGAACTGCAGCGAATGCGGCCTTAAGACAGCACCGGGGGAGTGCCGCAAATGCGACGCTTTCTACTGCAACCGCTGCTTCGATATGGTGCACAAGCACAGCCGTGTGCTCAAGTCTCACGTCTTCCAGAAGTTCAGAAACGAGACTCCGGGCTTTCGTCCCAGCGGAATGCGCATCGGGGATGAGTTCTTCCCTGTGCCTGGCGATGTAAAGTGCAAGCACCACAACCTGCTAAGGAAAATTCGGTGCCTAAGCTGCAGGACGAACCTCTGCCAGGAGTGTCCCATACAACAGCACAAAGATCATAATATAAAGACTTTGACGGATCTGGTATGATTAACTAGTACTTCTCTTACAAGAGTATAGGTTTCTCCTCTAATTAATTTCTAATTTCTAGAATCTGCGCTACGCTAGTGAAATTCCGGTTGCCCTGAGTGCCCTGGACACGGCCCATAATTACATTAAAAATTGCCAGAAGGTATGTCGAAGAGTTTATTTACTTACTAGTCACATTTTATTTAACTATTGCTATAGGTATGTTTAATGTTGCAGTTACAGCTAGCTATTTACAGTACTTGCTCGCTAAAAATAATTTAGGGATGTACAACCAACGCACAGGCAGTTTTCACATTACAAATATGGCAAGCTTTTCGTTTAAATGTTATCCACTGGCCGCTTATTTGCTGCTGTCCTTGATGGGCATCAGTTGTCCTGTATTTCCATCGGTCTTAATCTCAATGACCTCCAGCTTCTCCACGCTTACCCTTGTCGTTTCCCGATCCTTTTTATCTGCCGCCTTGGTCTCCCGCAAATTCTGGAGCTTGTCCTCCTCTTCGCTGCTCTCCGGTGCCGTGGGTTCTATTCCAAAGTCCACTTCTGGCAGTGGCTGGGGTGTGGATGACACCACGATCGGCTTGAGCACATAGGACTTGGTGTCCTGAGTGCTCGTGGGCGCCATGATGGTGGTAGGTGCTGACTGGTCGTACGTATCAAAGGTTCCCCGTTCCGAAATATCGTCTATCTCATCATCGATTAGAAGATTCTTTTCAGAACTCTGTTCGTAGACTTGGGCATTTATGCCACTGCCATGTTTCGGTTCGGGCTTGTGATTCTTCGGAAGCGCGGGAGTGGAGGAAGCCTCAGCTGGTTTCTCCGCCTGCTGGGATGCCTTACGTTGCTTCTCCTGGCGCATCTTTTCCTCCATTTCTTGAAACTTCATTGCAAGGTATCTGTGGAAAGTATATATTGTATACTTCTGGGGATTATTATTTTCGGAAAACATGCTTACTTATCCACAATGGGTCCATTGTAGTCCTCTGGGAACTTGGGATTGAAGGGCAGAATGTATTTATAGAGTCTTTCGTTCAAAACATATAGCTGAGAAGTAGTTGAACACTTGACATTGAACCACCAGTCGCAGGTCAGAGCAATCTGTTAATAAGTTTATATATTAATATTATCCTATGAAGGGAGAACCACGATATCGATACCTGACTAAAAATGGTTCCGTTGGGACAAAGGAAAGAGGCTTTTCCTCCGTTGAGATCGCAGTAGTGCCACACCTGGCAATTGGTCTCTGGGTCGCCGAAGAATCCCTTGTAGCGCTGCTGGGTGCACTCGAAACTCGTCTTTGGGATCTCCGCGTAGTTGGGGTAATCGATGCCAGGCCTTCCTGTGCTCGGTCCAGGATGCTTATCTACCAAAGTATCATCATAAATAATGGTTCTTGTTTAATGTAGTTCTACCCACTTGGTCCTTTTAGTTTAACAACCGCTTCGGTGATCTCTTCTGAGCCTGTGGACGTTGTGGCATGATCCTCGCCACTCCCCGTGTTGTAATCATAGTCCTTCGGACTGTGCTCGTGATCGTCGTGGTGCTGCGGTGGATTGGGAACTATGGTCTGGGTCTGCTTGAGGTTCTGTAGAATGCGTATCAGTGTCTTAATGGAGTTGTCAATGTTGTCGGGTGTCAGGGTCTGTGGCAGATGGTTGCTGGCCTGAAGCTTGTGCAGGATCTCAGCCAGCGACGAAGTGCGAATGTCGGGCAGTTGATCTTCGTCCTCTGGAACATAGGCTGGGGTCAATGGAGGCCGTTCGTGGGCGTATTTGTAGACTGGTTTCAGTTTAATGGGAGTGTGCGTCGAGGGCTCCCTAATGACGTGCTCGTTTGGTGATCCACCTGGTGGCTTTCCGGATACGTAAACATACTTGGGCGTAATTTCAACCGTGTGGCTCGGAGTGGGCGCCCCTGCTGGCGAGGGTGTGGTCACATAAATGGGTCTTCTGGTGGCCTTGTAGTTGTGTACTGGCTGCAGTCGCAAAGTGGGTTGCTGCTTGTACAGGACAGGGGGACGCGGAGTGGAAATATCATGGTGCAACTGAGGTGCAGGTTGGTGTTCGATGTGCGGTGCCGTAGTGGTCACCAAGATGTAGGCATGCTGCGGGGGCTGTGGCGCCGAAGGACGCTCATGCTGTTGGTCCTCCTCCAGAGACTGCCTGGGACCGTCTATCAAGTAATCGATGTACTGGTGTGGCGGTGCTGGGGAACTAAGAGTAATATATTAGAAACCCGAAGGAATAGGTCTTTTTATATGTCTCTGATGAAGTTTATCCTTAGCTCCTTGAGTAACTTACCCGAGTGGCTCGTCCTTGATAAATTCTTGACGCGGCGGTTGCGCCTGCGACTCGGACTGGGACTGGGAGAGCGATTGCTCTTGGACATGGGCCATGAGGGCCCGCAGAGGAATGTGGAGAACCTGCTGACCGGCCGTCGCATCCGGCCTTACATACAGGGTGTCATACTTGTGAGAGTGATGATGGGTGGTCTGGGGATGGTGGAGCCGGTGAACCGAAGGCTGTTGGGGATGCAGATGAGTGGATGGAGGATGGTGGCTGCCAGAGGGCAGAGTATTGCTTTGTGCTGGCACCACCGGATGAGGGAAGTCGTAATTGTGTTGTTGCTGCTGCTGGTGCAGCAGTTGCTGATGTTTTTGGTGTTTCATGCGCTGTTGTAAGTAAAGCACGTACTTCTCCTGGGGCGTCAGGTGTTGCGGATGCTGTTGTGGCTGCTGCGGATGAGGATGATGGTGACCGCTGGTCGAGGGTGGGGCCATGTTGAAGTAGCTCTCGTATTTACTTACATGCCCGAACGGCGGCGATTTTTGATGTAATATCAATGCAGTTTTGGAGGATGTGGTGGCGGTGACTGGGCTCGGCTCGGAATCGGGTACCGAAACGGAGACGTAGCCAATGCTGTCATGCAATGAGCGTATGGATTGGATTATAAGCAATTGTGTAAAGGTTTAACTTCAACTGATACCCCAAAATGAACCAATTAAATGCCTTAATTATTTAATTTAAAGACTCCCTGCCGCAGGAAGGTCGTAAAAATGTTGCCTGTTCGGCGTGTATGATTCCCTTCTCTGGCGGCGATTGCATAACAGATTTTTGACCTCAGCCCGCCGGCTATTTATGACATGAATTTGCAATTTGACAATTACTACAAGAACACGGAATGACGAGTGGTGCATGAGAAACTCGGCCCATTTTGGCCACTGGCAGTGCCTCATGCTGAACATCGAACAGCAATCGGAGTTGCAGTCGCTGTTGTCATGGATCTTACGTCATTCGGTTCAAGATGCACCGAAGGAGATGGTCGGACGGAGTCGGAGACTCTTGTGGTTGATTGGGTCGGGGTCTGGGTCCGATGCATTTCTTGCAATTGATTTTTCTGCCCAAGGGCATTTCATGCATCCGGTCTTTAGTTCAGTTTGGGTTTCATAGCTTTAATGCATTTTACAAAACCTACACTTTAATAACCTAATTTATAATTTGGGATCTAAACTAATTTGTTTCATTCAAGTGTCTGCACCTTGCTTCTTAAATTTTGGCATATTTTAAGCTCTCTGAAACGCTCTAAAAAAACTTATTTTAATTAAGAATGACTAGCTGGCACATGAAATGAATTAAATAGTGAGTTGTTATGTCATGAGAGCTTGTTGTCTCGACGGCGATGGAGAGAAGTTTATTGCAAGCATCTATTGACATGAATCTGTGATGGCAGCAGCGGTGGCAACATTATTTTTAATTTGTATTCTACATGCAACATCTGAGTATCTGTGGGCGTTTTTGGGGGTGTGGCTGTGAGAATTGCCTTACCAAATCAAAGCTTATGATGTGAATTGTTTCATGAGATCGGCGCTTGACTTACTTTGAGCTTTCACACAAAATGTTGGACGCGTTGCATGCGCCAACTAATCTTACCTTGGTGTCGGCTGAGGCTGTGGCTGCTGCTGCTGCTGCTCCTCCACCACCGCACCCAGTTCCTCCTGAGATGCGTGATCCTCTTGCTGCACCTTGGGTTCCTTCTCCGACTCCTCCTCTTCGGAGGAGGTGGCTCCCGATGAGGCAGTCTGTTCCGCGGAGACTTCAGCTGCCGCATAATCCGTGGCGATTGGTGTTTGATGGGGATTTTTATGTGGCGCCGCTTGGAACACAATTTCAGCCCCCACTGCTGCCGGCTGCTTCGGGTTGTTATTGATGTTATTGTAATTGGCACTGGAGGAGCCCGGCTTGCCGCTGCTGATGCTGCTGCTGCTCACTGGCGTATAAATAATGGGTATAAACTGTCCCGGCAATGTGTTCTGCGCTGTAAACGGCGTTAAATTGATTTTTGATTGTTTGCCGCGCTGGCGTTGCAACTGGGATGATGCCACCAGGCCCGGTGATAGCATCTCGAATTGCACTGGTTGCTGTAGTTGTTGGTGGTGCTGGTGTTGTTGGTGTTGCTGGTGTTGCTGGTGGAGGTGGTGCTGTGGTTGCTGAACCTGCTCCTTCGACGGCGGCGGCGGCGAAGGCGGGAGCGGTGGAAAATGCTGCACCGTCTTGTGCTGTGCGTGTAAATTTATGATTGTCTTGATTATTTCTGCTTATTTATGTCCCATGAAATCAAATGTAATCAACGAGAACTGGAAAGTATCATGTACTGTTGGAGTACCCTTTCGAATCGGACCAATAACATTGAATATATTGGAATATTTGGAAATACAACCATCTTTAAGGGTAAATTGTAAAACCTCTTAGGAGGTACTCCTACTGTTGGAGTACCCTTTCGAATCGGACCAATAACATTGAATATATTGGAATATTTGGAAATATAACCATCTTTAAGGGTAAATTGTTAAACCTGTCAAAAGACACTTACCTTGTGAGATGGATTCAACGGCTTGTAGGCAATAAAAGTGGCTCCCGAATCAGTGAGGGGCTGCTGCTCCTTGGCTCGACCAGCCGGCGGATGGGGATGCGGATGCTGGTGGCCCCCAATGGCGAGGGTATGGTAGACATCGCCTGCTCCCGATTGATAGTGCGGCCCTGGTGGTGGCGGATGTGGCGGTCCATGGTGGTGCGAGTGGGCATGATGCTTCTGCTGGTGCTGCGGCATGTAGGCCACAGGCACTGGGATTCTTCCAGGTCCTGGCGACGGTGCCTGCAGCTGGGATCCGCCGGCGGACGATGAGTGCTTGGCAACATACTGCTGATTAATGGGCAACTCTGGGGCGGGCAAATAAAAAGCCATGTAGGGTATGAGACGTCGACTCCGCTCTGAGGCACTGAGCTCGGAATCACCAATGCTACTGTTGCTACTGTGGCTACCACGACCACTTCTCGGCATTTGGGTAGAGCCAGTGGCTTGGCACAGAGCTGGCAGGGTGGAAGCTGTAAACAAAAATGCTCATTTAATTGGAAACCTTATATGTTTGGTTAGATCTTCAGGTGTAGCCTGCTCACTTGAGTTTATATTTGTTTGTCTAAACCGGACACTTATGTTCTAGAATTACTATTTATTTATCAACGGAAATAATGGCTATACATCAGCTAACAGCTGAAGCTATATGGGCGCAGTTTCTGGCTAAGGATTGGCTTCTCTGATAGGCTGAAAGAAGAATATATACTTAGTTTTAAAGAATCACTTGATAGAGTATTAAATCAAGTGAAAGTCTTAGCTTCAAAGAAAGAGATACTAATTAAATACTGATCCCTGAAATATGACACAAAAGCATGGATTTTCTTTTCATATTCAACATTACCCCAGTAGTCTCTGACCGTTCAGGCAAAATTCAGTATCACACAGTCTAGTGGAGGTTTTTATACACTTTTGTATTTGTCTTTCCCTCTCCATTACGTTTGTAGTTTGTCAAAATTTCTATATCCTGATTTATTTCCACAAATTCTAGTTTTGTGAAATCAACCAACGATTCGGTAATTATCAAACTCATTCACTACACCTCAACAAATACTGATCATCTAAAAATTAAACGCTGGCATATTTTAGTTGAAGAACCCATTAGGAAGAGGACAGTCCCTTTCCGCCAGGTCTTGGCAATAGAAGAACCACAAATTTAGAAATAAGAATGTCCAAATTCAACGCCAGCTCTGGGAACCGGCACTTGACCACGCGCAGCTCTGATGTGGACGCACTGGCTCAGCGGGGCTATAATGTGGGCCACAAAATCGGTGAGGGATCATACGCCACTGTAATCACAGCCGGATACGCTGATGATGCCGGGCACGGAGTCCATTTGGCTTGCAAGATCATAGACAAGGCGAAGGCGCCAACCGATTTTGTCAACAAGTTTTTCCCGCGCGAGCTGGAGATCCTCACCAAGATCGATCATCCCAACATTATACAGATCCACAGCATTCTCCAGCGGGGTCCCAAGATCTTCATATTCATGCGCTACGCGGAGAACGGGGATCTGCTGTCGCACATCAAGAAAACAGGCCCCATCGACGAGAAACAGTCCAAGATCTGGTTTCTGCAGATGGCCAAGGCCCTCAAGTATCTGCACACCCACGACATTGCCCATCGGGACCTGAAGTGCGAGAATATCCTGCTCTCCAAGCGGCTCAACATCAAGGTGGCCGACTTTGGATTCGCTCGCTACTGCCGCGATGATAAGGGTCGGGATGCGAAGTCTGAGACCTACTGTGGATCCGCGGCCTATGCTGCACCAGAGGTTGTTTGCGGAAAACCCTATGACCCGAAGCTGGCTGACGCTTGGTCGCTTGGCGTCATCCTCTTCATTATGATGAATGCCAAGATGCCCTTCGACGACAGCAATCTGACCAAGTTGCTAGAGGACCAGCGGAACAGGAAGTTCGCTTTTCGCAGGAAGCTGCAGGGTGTGATCTCGGCCCAGGCCAAGGCGACTGTCTCGGTTCTTCTCGAGCCGGAGGCTCATGCTCGCTGGAATCTTCGAGAGATTCTCAACTGCATCTGGCTGCAAACCGCTGCAGGCGAAGAACCCAAGCCCGCTACCCCCTAAAAAGAAAAAAAGAAGTAGCATGCTTGGCCGGGATAGTATTGTGAGGTGGTCAAGCCTCGTTGGAAGAGATGACTAGCCACATGCGTTGATTTCACAGTTTTGGTGTAAATTGAAGGTTCATACCTTCCAGATAATAATCAGATGGAGAACTGCCACTGCCATCGAATTAAATTGTCTCCCAATACAATATTGGGATTAGTGTGTATAAAAAATGCCTGAAGTCAGTAAAAGGGATAACAATTTTGGATTACAAATTTTATTAACCGAAAAAGGGGTATTGTTTTTGGTTCTTATGAGACTCTTATGGGGTGTGTGTTTTCCCTTCTTACCATTGCCTTTAAAATTGTGCAATCGATCACAAAACCTCACAATTATAAGCCGAGGGGAACACCAACCAACACGTCAGACTCAACGAAGCCTGACCACAAACCCAAACTGCACGCCGCCATAACCGTAAAAGAAAAACTATTATAAAATAGCATTAGGTAAATTTTTTAAACAAATTTTTTGTTGCATCTTTCTTCACTAGTGGGCCAGTTGTTTGTCGTGTGCATCGTTGGCCAGGTTTAGTGAGCCGTAACATGTGGCAGAGGGAAATATTCATTCAGGGGAGTTTGTGTTTAAAAGATATTTTGGGAAAGATTTCTGCTTAAATAAGGTTGTGGCATAAACTTACTCGAAACTTGTTTGAAATCAAGAACTCACATTTTTGGTCTACCAAGTTGTATAATCTAAAAAGCCTTTTCTATTTTAATTAGCCAACTGCCTAAAAACCTGGTCTGAAGCCCACTCGCATGGAATATTTACCAGAAACAGCTTAATTATAATTAGGCTTGATTTTAATTCTGAAAACAGGCCATAAACCTGGAGATCTAACTTTCCAAAAATGGTCAAAAATAATCCATCCAACATTTTGAAGATTAATTGCATCAAAGGCATGATTTTTGAAAGGATCATTGCAATACTCGTCGAACCTAATCAGAGTCTGAGTCTGAACTGCTCTCATCAATATGGTTTATAATTTGGGGGAATTAATTTTGGGTTAGTCGGGTCTAAGCCGTGCGCAATGCCACCACTCTTGTGGTACATAAGTAAATGGTGATTCGGCTGCTTTACCATTCCTGGCCTCTTCGGATTGGATTGGCTTGTCATGGCTTGGCTTGGCCTGGCCTCGCTTGAGCGTGTCCTGAGCGATGGCATGTGTTGCAAGTTTCAGGTAGCCCGTTGCCCAGTTGCCATGCCGACCAGTAATCTCCAGACATTGGAAGTCGGGCCACGACAATAGATGTCCGACAGACAGTCCGGGCCAAATCAGAGCTGTGGGGCAGATAATTTGCATTGGGGGAGCGGGCCAGGCTTAAGTGGCAACTTGGATGCAAGGAAGGTCTTGTTGCATGTCGCAGGCTTGCATGTGTGACAGCAGCAAATGCCGAGTGGTTCCATTCCACCCACAGCAGTGGGGGGAGGCAGGCCAAAAATGTTGTCTTTATTTTAGCTATCCTTAGACAGAGAGTAGTGGCACAGTTTGTGGTTTTCTTCATCGAGCAAAGTCTTTTTATTTTACGACTCTTTTTCATCGCTTTCAGGCTGGCAGTCGCAGTCGCAGTCGCTCGTGTACACCTGTGCGTATGCGTAATGCCATTTGGCATTAATTAATATAAGTTGTCTGTGTGCGTCTCGCCTGCGGGGCACTAAAATGTTTTGCGATGGCTCATCTGCCATCTGGCTACGGCTCTGGCTGTGGCCAATTTCCAGTCGAGAGACGGCAGTCGAGTCGCTCCCAAGTGGCTCGTATGGAATTAATTTTGGGGCAACGTGTCAGATTTATGCTGCAGTCGGTGTCATTGTACCACTCTGAAGCTTATTAGATCTGCCTTCCTTCAACTTCCGGCTTTGTCATAAGTCCTTTTGGAAACTGGGTGTTTTCTGGTCAATGTATTTTATTTTGAATTTACTGTCAATTTAACAAATTATAAAGACTGGAAAACCACTCCATTGAGTCAGTTTTAAGTAAAATCAATTAATAAAAGTTCTATATAAAAACCAGAAATCAAATCTATAAAGAATATTAAATAATAATTGAAGTATAATTGACTCTTTCAACCCGGGCTTGAAGAACATTCTTGATTTTATTAGCCATACTTCCTTGGTGTGGACTTGCGTGCAATAAAGTGATTAAAATGTAGTTACCAACTCACAGCAATGACAAAAACTGAGTAAATGGGACTTGTCTTACAGCTTTTTATGATTGCCGGCGGCCTGCAACTGAACTTTTTATATATTTTTCGCACATTACTCAATGCAAAAGTTTCTCAGGCCCACTATAATAATTGCTTGTTTCTTTAACAGCATTAACTATTTGCTCGGACAGCAAAAAATCACGCGACGTGTTAGTCCGTAGGAATGGAAGGGAGGAAGCCTCTCCTAAATAAACTTGTCATGGCCGGCGCCACACCCCAGTTGGCCACAGTTGAGATTTCAATTACAATATAAACAGGGGAGTGCGGCACAGAACACAGAATGTTGAAAATGCAATTAGGCGGCCGCAAAAACAAATAAACGGAGAGCCCCGAAAGTTTGAGAATGGTTTCTGATAGAATGAGAATGGCCAGGAGTGTCTAAATTTCGCCATTAGATGGCGTGGCGAGGGGTGTGAGCTGTTATCGTTGTCATTTGCGTGTTTCACAGCTACCGTGGACGTGGACCAGTTGTCAGTTGGTTTATGGCCAAAACACATTAAGCGAACCGCATAAAAACATTTTAGCCGCAGTCACATTCGCTGTTTTGCATCGTGTTGCGCCCATCCTTTGCCAAATTCAGGAGTTGCAATCGCCGAAGCGTTCCAAAAATTCACACAGATACAGATACAGATAGAGGTACATATACAGATTCGGATACCGATACCGATACGGATACTGATCAGGCCATATTTGCCAAGCACTTTTGCATGTATTTTGCATAAAATTTGCAAATGATTTGTTGAGCGCTTCTTATTTTGTGCAATTTTGATGCGATTTCTAGTGGGAGAGCAAATGGAGAAGATGGGTTATATAACACACACGTGGATGTATGTGTATGTATGTGCAGGGGACACAGGTGAACCAGACATGGAGTACTCACCTGTTCAATGAGCAAATCTGGGGGTTAATTCGCCTAAACCCGCCCCGAAGCCAAACATTTCACGCTTTTTTGACATTTCTGGCGCATAATTTGATTAGATTTCGCTACTACGACACAATAGCAAATTGTTTTGGTCACTCGACACAAGGGGGGGGATGGGATAGAGTTGGATTTTTGAAGTGGAGTGCCAGGACAGGACAGCATTGGTGGATGTGGATTGTTTTCTAATTTGATTTGATTTTGGACAGTGTTTTGTGGGCACATACCAGGATGCTTCGCTCAAATGCAATTAAATGCAAATTTATTGCGTAAATATTTACTTGAGCGTGAATGAATTTTAATTTTGTCATCGGGCTGCCATCTCCCAGTTCCCAATACCCATTTGCCATTTGCCACCCATTTCTAATTTTTCGGCGTATTGTTGTTTTGAAATGCTTGTGGCGGCGGCCATCTCATCTCATCATTAGCAGAGTGCCTGAGGTTGCACGACGCTAACTGATTTGGTTAGTTAGTCCCCCCCCATCCCTGATTCCGAATCCGATTATTGTGCCACTCAGGCCACGAGCCGAGTCCAAATTATAATGGCCAAAAAATCGAAAAGCTCTCGCCTTTGGCCATTTATGGTCCAAATTGTAAAGTCGCCCATGTAAGCCATAAACTCCACATCTGTAAAACAGCCATTACACGACCCGGAGCCGTGGCTAAGAAGTCGAAACAAAATTGCTGGCTGTCCGATCCGAGCCGAATTTTGGCCTCAGATTTGCCTTCACTTACGTTTTTGGCCAGAAGACAAATTATAGAGGTCGTAAAATGCAATAAACCAATCGCACAACTTCGGGTGGTCCCAACATTAGCCAACTAAAGTGCGAACTAAATTACTACGTACTTCTGTTTTTATGTGCCTGGGTTATTGGAACCTCAAACTAAGAGCGATCTCCCTCAATTGGCGGGCAGTAAAACCTTTCCATCGGGCTTACCCAGTTTGGATTTGAGATATAAACCTAGATTTGGTCGCCTATTGTTTATATCTTGAGGCATAACTGTTCAACAAGATCGTAAAGTTTTAATATCTTCATTACAATCACATGTTCCACTTAGCAGGGGAAATCGTAAAAATAATACAAGCTATAAGATAAATATATAAGAACAACCAAGTTACTAAAATGTAGTTTCCATCATAAAATATCAATGGGATACATTGTATATGTAAATAGCTACCAACATCCTATTAAACCCTCGTAAGATTGGTTATTACTCCAATAGCTTCATATTAAGATCGCTTAGTCACGTCACTCCTCCACGTATGAAACCTGCAATTTGCAGCAATTCACACCCAAACCCTAAATGGACTAAGCTATTGTTTCGGTGCCGACCTTTAAGTTGCATTCCGACAAATCGTTGAGAACTTGAACAGTCCATGCTGTAGATCATGAGTAACTCGCCGATCGAACTATCACCCAGAATAAATATCCGCTTGAGGCGGAGCTGCAACTTGATCACATCGCCACAGCCATTATAAAATTTGTATAAAATAATACAAAAATTTAAACTTTTTTGTTGTGGTGGTGGGGTATTTTGTATTTTCCACGTTTTCCGCTCGTCGGCGACAACCATTGCGCCAGCAATCCGGACAGAAACAGAAAAGTGAATGGGTTTTCCTTCCATTCCTCCAATCGGCCGGCTATCGCGGTTCGTTTGCAAATGTCGCAATCTGGCACTGGCACCCATTATAAGCATTTGAACTGTGTGTTGACGTTTTGCGGACAGCTTACAAATAAAAAACCAAAACAAAAATTAACCGCCCATTAAACAAACATTGCAATAGGAAAAATACTGCCCGTCTCCAGATTGGGTCTCCCCAGTTTTGCATCAAATCTGACTGCGTTCATCAAAGTCAAAATCGCATTGGCCTCGTTGTCAACCGATTGCTAGACTTTGAGATTTATCTCCAAAACGCAAACCTTACTTTTTCGTGCTTTATAACTCAAAGAAAAAGGAAATAAATTATAATACTCTGTCCGTCTAGGAATACAAATATATTATGCTATTTACCTAAGCTAGTTTTGGAAAGTATAAACCCTAATAGGAGGCGGAGTGAAACTGAAAGGTAAATGGCATTTTTTGAAAATTCATAAAGAAAACTCTT